AAATAATGTATATATACCCTATTAATCATATTAGCATATTGCAATAATATTATACATCATCTTTTAAAATATTATTACGTGTAAATTACTTCTAGCTAATTAAATTATGTTACTTATATTCATATATACTTTTTATTTTTGAGATAAATTTTTAATAAATAACCATAAAAAAAACTACTAGTTTTACTTAGTCTACTCTATGAAATGATCAAGCAGAACTTCTAATCCTTCTCACTGTCCTGATATTCCAAAGTTATACAAAAAATAACTTAAGGAGAATTCGTTTGTTCAAAAAAAATCACAAAAAATAAATATAATGAATTTAGTGAACGTGGAATTTTCTAAAGAAACTGATAACATTAAAATTGATAATAACGCTGATGAACTAGATCAAATTGAAGAAATTGATGAAGTTGATGAAGAAATTGAAGAAATCGACAATAATTATGAAGGCGAAATTAAAGAAACTAAAAATCAAAAAACTAAAATGATGGCAAATAAGGTTAGGATTTTTTTACATTTCATTTTTTTTTGGTCTATTGTTTATAATTTTAAATATTCAGTTATAAAATTTTATGTATGATTTTTTTTCTGCATTGTTTTAAAAGAATTGGAATATGTTAATTTCAATATATACTTTACCGATGCTATGGATGATATTGAGAAAGACTTAGTAAATAATGAAATTTTAGAAGAAAAATCTACTGAATTTGAAGGTTTCGATAAAGAGTACAGACCATACTTTCCGAATTTTACATCTTTTGCATTGTATGTTTGGATTACAAAGTACATAATATGTAAGTAATGTTTATAAAATTTTTGTATTGGTACTGGAACAAGTATTTATATATATTAATTGTATAACTCAAATTGGAGTCGTTTTCAATTCAGAATCATCACCTCGGAAGAGAATTTTGTAAATTGATTTGTGAAATTCAGGTTTTAGGATTATAATTAAGGCAAGAATTAAAGTTTTTAATAATACAGTCGTCCCTTATTAATATCAACCCTGTTAATATCAACCCAGGATATAAAATGAATTTCTATATATTAAATGATATTAAAATTCTCTCCTATATATCAACTTTAATATGTTCCTTTATTAATATCACTATCAATATGAATATAAAAGCAATTCAAATAGGTTGATATTAGTGAAGGATGACTGTATCTAGTATTAATAATAAAAGGATAGTGTGGGCTAAAATTACAAAATTCTTATCTGGGACTGTTCTGATTCTGAATAAGGATAATTCTCAACTATGTATATTATATTTAGCAACTAGCACCTATGAAGACCTAGCCACAATTATTACTCATTCTAAATTTTGTAAAGATGATGTTATCGAGAATATTAAACATATGCGTAAGTGGAGGTATAGGATACTTTTAATTACAGTATATCAACATGATGTGTCTATTTGTTCTCAAAAAGCATTATCTGTGCTTACATCTTCAAAGAAAGCATTTACAATATCTCTATTAATATATTTGAAGCATATATTAAATAATCTGACAATTGTGCTAAAATTATACTTTGGACCAGGAGTAAATATAAGTAAAAAATACGAATTCTGGCATGGAAGCCTCTGGCAAGAGTCTCCACTTTTTGGATTACATGAAATAAGAAGCAATAGTAGAGGTTAGTCTATAAGATTTAATAAATTACATATTTATAAAATGCACTTATGATACTTTACATCTATATATATATTATCCCAAAATTGGCTAATTCATTAGTATATACAGTAACACTTTAAGTAAAAAATATTCTGCAGCTTTTAAAAATCTTTAAAAATATAT